ATCCGCGAAGATCGACGGCGAAGTTATGTCGCTTTGAAACGTCATATCTCCAGGATTTTTTTAGAGCGGCGGAGCTATGTCGCTTTAAAACGACATAATCTCGTCATGATCAACGGCGATAACCACACGATTTTTTTTGGAAAACTTTAAATGGTCATATCTCGGCCAAATAAAGCCCGATAGGGGCCAAAAAGGGAGGGCTACTCGGGGAGGTCCGTAGAATCCGCCAAGATCGACGGCGAAGTTATGTCGCTTTGAAACGTCATATCTCCAGGATTTTTTTAGAGCGGCGAAGCTATGTCGCTTCAAAACAACATAACTCCATAACCACACGATTTTTTTTTGGAAAACTTTAAATGGTCATATCTCGGGCAAATAAAGTCCGATAGGGGCCAAAAAGGGAGGCTGTCTGTGGAGCCCACTTGTATAGCTCTGCTCTCCGCAGCGTTTACCATTCTACGGGAGAGCAACCAAATGCCCGGCACTTGAGACGTTATTCCTCCGGATGCTGCCTTTGCCAAGACGAACCTCATCAGCACGAGCATGGCATAAGTCTCTTTATTTCATGCTTCCAGTCAGTCAATCAGTCGATCAGTCAGTCCTTCAGGGCAAACAGTCTTTTATAAATATTTGATTCAGAAACGTTTTGTTACGCCCATAACTGCAGGTTACATATGGATCAGTACAAGTTAAGTAGCTCAGAATTTGGCTCTTTCAAGACTTGACAGAACGCGTCGAACCGGACTTTTGTGCCTGATATTCCGAGCTGTGGTTAATCGAATTACAACTATCATAGCCACTCGCTCTTCAGATCTGAAGTTATCCACAAGTGGGCTGGGAGCGAGCGTCAAGTGTTGCAAATATAGCGCGACATTATTGACACACTTAAGTCCCTGGCATTATGACACTAATCGTATTAGTTGGTCGTTAGTTAGGCGCTGCTGCTGCTCCGCTTGCTTTTGCTATCAGCGCCAAATGCGATTTCCGCACAATGAGCCGTTTGGCCCTTGCTTCAGCTCACCTGCCCATCGGCTTGGCTCGCCTCGTTTCCGGCTTACGTGCGCCATTTTTCGTACAGGTGACATAATGACCCGGCTCTGGACGTGCGGCTGCGACACGTAATTAGAGGGATGCGAGGTGGCAGCGGCAACCAGCCCCACTCCCACTCCCCACACTGCCTCTTCCGTCAAGTTTGTCATTTGGCAAATCGGTTTAGCTGTCGCCGAAGAATAGTTTCAACGAGCTCTACCATCTATGCAGCTGCCTTTATTAAATTCACAAACAACACGCTTCTTACTTACACCTCAAAGAGGGAACCAAGCCTGCTGCACACAAAGTGGATGGCTAACGATTTTCTGCTCCTGACAATGCCTGAGCTCGTCTCAGGCAAGCGGAAGCCGAGACAATCTAAAGCTGGCACATAATTGAAAGCCATTGACAGCTGATGTGTAGGTCATGCCAAGGACTGGCCCAGTTGCCCATGCCCCATTGACTTGAGTAGAAACCGACCTCCCCCCACCTCCACAATTTATCAATTTTAATCGCATGCAAATTTTATGCAGGCTCGCCAAAAGCCTAGGCAAAAATTTGTTGTGAGCCCAGTTATGTTGCTCATATGCCAACTGGCTGTTAGTTTTGTTAACAACATTTGCTTTTGGACCCGCTCCGGTCTTGTGCTAATCACACAGCCCCTCATGTGCTCATACCCCAGCCTATCCAGCCAGGCCAGCCGAAAGTTATGTCGCGACATTTGCATTTTGCTGACATAATTTTTGGTGTATTGTCAAGTCGAAGGAGTCTCAGCAGCGCACATGGCCAGAAAAAAGCATTTGCATAATTAATGAGCTGAATGGATTTGGGCGTCAAAGAAATTCTGTTAGTTTTATGAATCCTAAATAGAAATAGAAAGCTTATTCCCGCTAAACAGTCAAGATTTACCGCTCTATTGAATTAGATTGTTGAATTAACCGATTTATCACTAAAGTTATCAATATTGGCCTGCTAATCAGTCAGAAGGAGCGAATACATCCATTTACCATATTATGGGTACTCTGCAAGAGATGCGTATAGGCCAGGCTTGTCGAATTTGATATAGAGTTCGAAATATATTTTTCCTGAAGGTTTCTTTTCTCCTGCTTGTTAATTTAAAAAATTCAAATATTAATTGGTACAATTTTCCGGTCCGTTGGAAAAGTGAATTTCGTTTTGAATCGTGTCCCAAAAGCCCAGCACGCGCCCATCTCTACTACTAAATATATATAATCCAAAAATCGAGCATATCGGCAGCATTTATAATCGTATTTAAGCACAAAAAATTGCATTTATCACAAAGCATAACCTAACATACACATAAGAAGGCACTTGTCGGCTTTAGATCTTGCCAAATTACAAAGAAAATCATTTCTAAATATGAAGCTTTTACTGTTATTTCTTATTCCTGGAGTATTAACCTATACATGCAAACCGTTTCAAATTTTGCACAGATATCGATGCATCAATCTTTATCAAATACAAAATAATAAATCTTTTGTCTTGGATTAAATTGTACAATAAATGATTTCTATTAATATATAATAAAAGAAGTGTACGCACGTTTTTTAATTCGTTGGCTAACCTTATAGTTAGCAATATCGATCGGTTCAGTCGGACAAATTATTAGGAGAAGTAGCATAAGTTTAACGTGGTATAAAAAGACTATTAAAAAGTAACTTCTTGACTTGAGCAATTTATTTAAAATGATAGAGATGTAAAATGAACATGCACAAATTCGTATTGTTATTATCATCCAGGGCTTATGCTAGATTCAATCATGTAAAAGAATATTTTGGCTTGTTGTTGCCCTTCTCATGGTTCGATTGCTTGGGATTTGGCAAAGATGACGTTCTATTGTGTTACCTAGAAATGCCTGACTAACGCTAATTTCCGTAGCAATTCCTTTTTTGTACTTTTCCCGCAAGCTAATGACATTTGTGTCAATAAAAATAATCAATCATTGGCATAGAAAAGGGGGACAGGCGAGTAATCTTTAAAGATGATGATGGAAGCGGCTTTGAGCAGCCTTTGATGTGATATTCTGTGATGTGTGTCGCGACTTGTGACCGGAGTCTAAGGAGATTTTCAGGTTTGCTCCATTGAAAAGGAAAAAGACGTCGTTGTCAGATATCTTGATGGATGTGTGCCTTAAATTTGGCTTAAAGCAAAATGGCTTTTAGCTAAGTGCAACTAGCATTGGCAACATCGCAATTCCTACAAAGTTTCAAAGCACGTAGCTGGCCAGCAGCTGTGGAAAAAGTTTTACACACACACACATACACACTCACCAACACATAACAATTTACAAATAAATTTTAATTGTTTTGAACAATTAAAAATTAAATTTAAAAATACTACGTGAGATTTACGTGAAGAGCCAAAATTTTGCCTTTATTCAATTTCCACAACTGTTCGGGAACGTGTGTGTGCGAGAGTCTTCTCAGTAAATATATGCGTGTGTGTGTGTGTGTGTGTGTGTGTTTGATTGTGTGTGTGTTTTTGACTGTCCAAATGCCGCTGCTGCTAAACAAATTAAATTAGACAACTTTTATTCATTCGTTTGACATTTTTATTTGTTTTCAAACTCATTTCGTGCAAGGCGAGAGGACAACTCCGACCGGACAATTAACAACAAATACAATTTGCAGAATTTCGTTTAACAATTTTTAGCAACTGCTGTTATTTAATTGTTTGTCAGTCATCTCTTATATCTGCCCCCCCTTCTCCTCCACTTCATGCCACGCTCACGAGCTTCGCTTGCGCAAATTTAATTAAATGCCATTTGGATAAGAGGGCAGCTGGTCTAGTTTGAATGGTGTCTGTCTCAAGCTCGTGGCCTCTGAGCCGCTTCTGTTTGAATATTTTTAGATGTATTTAATATTTATGTCACTTTCTTTTATTTTCATATTGTCGTCGACATTGATAAGATCGCTTATCGCTTATTGATTGCCATCATCGAGACTCTCAAACTACACATAATGATACTGAAGCAACGTCACTTTCAATTACAATAAAACGTTCAATTATTCGGCATGCTTCGATACCAGATATCATGAGCAGCTCCATACTAAAAACGTTGTCGAATGAAAAGTTGTAAAAAGTCTAATAAAATATGCGATTCTCAATAATTCAAGTAAGACTTACCATCTTCATAATTTGTTTTAAAGCATTTCAATAAATAGTTGCCTCTACATTGTAGTTTATTTTCCTTAACTCTATCTTACTCAGTCTCTCTCTCTCTCTCTCTCTCTCTCTCTCTCTCTCTATCCGTGTCTCTGTCTCTGTCTCTGTCTCTCTTTCGATCGCATTCTTTGTCGCAATTTCTGCTTCTTTTATCTAGCTCTCTCTCTCTATCTCTTTACCTCTATATCTCCCTCTTTTTCTCTTTCTCTCTCTCTCTCTTTTCTCTTTGACTTAAACTCTTACTCAGAGCCTCTCTCATGTTTCTTTAATGCTTTTATTGATGTGTTTTCATTAAAATTTGTCTTCCTTTAAATAATAGATGGTAAACAAAAAAAAACTTTTTTGTATGTAAATATTAATTTAGATCTACGCACAGTAAAACTTAACTTTAAAATGTACAAAAACGAATAACTATCGCCTTCGAAAATAGATAGCAAAATTATGGGATTCTTGAAATCAACTAGAACAGGAACTAAAACACAAAACAAGTAATCTAATCGGCTGGTGTGTAATTTTTCAATGTTTATTATGGCTTACCCAACGAATCATCTGACAAACAGGACGGGCGACATTGCAACGTCTGAAACTGGAACCCAAACCCGATTGCAGAGCTATAATAATATCGACAAACAAATTCAAATGTAATTTACAAAACAAGGAAAAAGCCCTCTCACTTAGTAAACCTTCACAATTTGCTGCAATAAAAAACTGAATAGTACCCAAAGGTAAATGATAAGAACGTCGATCGTCTGTCGATTGCATTGAATGCCGCATTATCAGTTTGTCTCTGGCAGGGGCAACAGCAGCGCTTGTCCAAAACTAAAAAATTATATGCGTATCGAAGAGTACAATCTGTCAAAATCATAATCAAAATAAAAATAAGTGAATACCATATCGAGAATGCCACTGCAGCTGTTTAAGTTGCTGCTACTGTTGCTGCTGCTGCTGTTCAAGTGCCTCAAAGCCGAGTGTTGGTGAATATGCAAGTGAATAGTTTGTGAATACGATTCATATATACTCAAAACACAGCGCCACAATGTTTTCATTTCACCTGGATTGGACCATACGAGAACAAAACGAATATTGAAAATGAAAGCTGCGATTCCAGAGTCGGTGATTTCAACGAGATACCCTGTGAAATGCCTCTGGTAGTCACCGGTTTGTTTGCTCCGTTTGCTCCCATGTGCATTAGCCTATTTACCTGAACACACGTATATTCCACTCTAGCAAATGACACTGTGCCGGATGTGAAGGCACTGTGGAAGAACGAGACATTGAATCGTGAAAATTATCTGTGCCACATGTCGCCCGGTCTTTCCTGCGTCAAGTACTCCTACATATTCAAGGGCGGCAGTAAGTACCATCTTGAACTGCAGATAATATATGTAAACGTTATACCTTTTGAGAAAAAATAATGCGTAAAGGGGTAATGTAACGTGTCTAGTCTCTGGTAAATGCCCCTTTTAAACATTGAGCTTCCATAAGCTTGGGCAAAACTTAACCGATTTTTATGAATGTTGCAATTTTGGTCATGGTTTGTCCTCTATCTATATAAGTACGTATTTAGTAGATAAGAGATAAGAGAATACTCTTATTTATTATATATCTATTTCTTGTAGATTTACAAATCGATAAATTCTTCCTTTTCGCTTATTTACATCTGTTATTAACCAAATACATATATATTGGAGAATTTCTTAGATCTGTTAGATCAGGCTAGAGAGTATCTCATAATCGATGTCGACTCGAGTTGACTATCTATTTTATTTCTTTTTTGATTTATTAATTGAGTAAGATTAAGCAATATAAAAAAAATCAAATCAAATCTTAGAAAACTATCTTATAAAAACTTACTTCAAATTTCAAACACAAATTCATCTGGTTTTCCAACTCTTATTTTATAGTACAAAACGTGACATATATGTGTGCCAAGGTGAATAGCAGCAATGGTTGTTACCTACAAACGCATTCGACGGGCATGCAGGTGGAAGCCTGCGTTTGCACCTCCAAACTGGGCCTGATGCCCTGCAATGGCAGCTTGAGTACGCAGTCTCAACAAGTTTTGGGCTTTGCCATAGCCTTGCTCAGCGTTTTTATGATTGTTAAATAAACATTTAGAAACAAAATAAGAAAAGCAGACATAAACAAAAGTAATGTAGTCGATATCTCGTTGCAGCACTTCAATGCGATCGGAAGTGCAATGGCAATTTGTTTAGTCTACGTCAATGGAGAGGGTTGAGCAGGTTGGTGCCTGAACAAGTTACATTGTGTATTTTTCCTACAGCTCGCCTACAGCGAGCTCGCCCTATTCACTATTTAATGTGACATTTCCGCGCTTTTGATTTTGACAAGTTTGCACAATTTATGGGCTCTTTTTATAGGCCATATATTATTCTTTATGGTCTAGCATTGGTAACGCGTTGGCTAAATAAACTGCCATAATTTATTAACTTGGCTATTAATCAAATGCAACGATGACAATAACTTCACGCTCGGCATTTATTTAAATGTATTGTCTAAAAATATTTTAGTCTTTATAAACAGTTTATTTATGTTATTTCATAAATATCAATACTTTTGCAAAGCTGCGCAAATAATTTATATTAAAATTTGATTAAAAAATAAAAGATTTTTTTTTTTGTTTTGTTTTTGAAATCTCTATTAAAAGTGCAATGTTTCTGACGACCTTAAATGTTATTCTGCGCAATTCGTGAAACGTGTTGCCCGTGCAGACAACAGAAAAATCTCAACTCAATAATAACAATAAATAAACAGTAAATCAAACAAACCATAAAATATTGTCACAGACAGCAGCGGCATAATAATAGGCTGCCAGGCCGATGGCACGGGCTGGTAGATTGCTGAACTGAAGACCACGACCAAATGGCAAACAATGCAGGCGATAAACAGAAACCGAGTAATACTCCAATTGCCGGCGGGGCCACGCGGCGTATGAGCAATGCGCACAGTGCACAATTAAAGCTGCCGTAGAGGGGGAGAGGTAGTGCTGGGTGCGACAGCTGGTTGGGGCTAGATTGGCAGAGACCAATATCCATTGGACCAATGCATTCAAATAAACTAATTTTAATTCCTCTCTCCACGGCCGGGGCACGCAATGCAGCTCAATTGTGACGCAAATTGTTATTAAAGGATGGCACTGGGTGTCACATGGAAATTGGGGGTGTGGGTGAGGGGTGAGTGCTGCTGACAGCGTTTATTTGTTGCTGCAGCCGTTGCAGTCGCTGCCATGCATTTACACATTTATTTATTTAATTTATAAATTACTTTTAATGTTTTTATTTTAACTTAAAAGCAGAAAGCAATGCGAAAACCTTAAAAACAACCATTCGCAAATTATGACGTTATATGAAATGGACACTTGGTAAATGTAAATTCTTTTGTTGTTGTTCTACTATTCGCATTTCCTGTGTCCCATCGGAAATGGATGAAATAGGTTTAATGTTTTTGTGCAGGTAGAAGGGGTAGAAGGAAGCATCTTCGAACCAATAATGTATACATATGTCCGCCTGTCTGACGGACTGTCCGCTCGTCTGACGAGTAAACGCATCGATCTCAGAACTTATAAGAAATAGAGATTTGAAACTGACTCACCAAAATGACAGATGGCTTCTAAAACAATATATACAATTTAAATATCTTTCATTTTATAACTAAGTAAACGAAGGCAATTCTTTTGCTTTGGCAACAAAGTACACAATGCATTCAACTAAATTTTATGCATATTTGTTAGTGTTATAAATATTTCTCTAACAAGTTTTAATCACATTTTCATACGCGAATTAGCAGAGCTATTAATTTTGGGAACACATACGGCCCAAAACTTGCACAATAAGCGAATTTCCCAAAAAAAGTGCAATTGAGCTGCGAGCGAGACGCTGCGACTGCTTTAATTTGCAGTTTTATTTATGCAGAGCCAATATACATTTAATATAGATATATATATACAAATATATACATACATATATATATATAAATTTTGCAATATATTCGATATGCATAGACCGAATACTCCAATCGACTGGACGCTGCGCTTATCTTAACGCCCTGCCACAAGCCAACATTTTGGGGGTGTGAAAAATAAATATAATTTGTTTTTGTTGCCTTTATTGTTGTTGTTGTTTTTGTTGTTGGGGCTATGGCTCCTAATATTATGCCATGTTTATGCACAGTGCATAACTAAACTTTCATTGTTGTTGTTGCTGTTGCTGTAGCTATTTGTTTAGCATTTGCCTAGACAGTTTTATGTACATTTTGATAGCCCGAATCGCCAGGCAGCCAACGCGTCGTATGCGTTATATTACAGTATATACAGTGCACATAATTTATATGTCTGAGGCACGTTCGTTCACATATTTAACAAGCAATAACGAAAACAATAATAATCGCTGGTGATAAATAAATGTGATTAGCATTATCTTCAAATGCAGCGTTGAAACCTGCCATTAACCAGCGGCTTAGTTGAGATTAGCGAATGTGAATGCATTCACTTACACTTGGGAGTTAAAATAAAATATAATATAATATATAATATAAATATATCACAAAAAACTAGTAACCCTGAATATTCTTATATACATAAAATTTGCTTAGAATGCATGTATGTAACGAAAATAAACAACTTGTTTTTATTTGAAAATATTTGAAGTAATAGCTAACTAATAAATAGCAATCGATGTGTGCTTGAATTATTCAAAGAGCAAACATGAGCCATGAATGCATGCACGTTGCTTGGCACATTCAATGAGTGCATTCATATATATTCACCACATGCTCAATTATTCATTGGCTGTTTTTGCTCCAATTTTCAAATGAACTAAATTTGCACCGCCACGTTTTGTATTTTATTTTGGATTAAAACCAATGGCAAGCACAACGAGGAAACCCGCAAAAAACCGCAACAAATTTAGCACGACGCTTGACCGGATAAGGCGAGCGAGGGGTGGAGTGGGGTCGCGCGCCTTAGCTGCATTTGAATGCAGCGCCCGGACAATCGAAAACAAAATGGCGACTCGCTGACCAGTGAAGTGTGACAGGCAAAACAAAAACCAGGTTAAAAGAATGCGCCAAAAATTAAGCATACGCCGCGTGGGCGAAAGAAAAAAGAATAGAATAGAAAATTCGGCATTCAATCGCAACAACAATCGCATAATATATATATACGTATATATCTGCATGTTTTAGAAGCAATGCGAAGCAAAATGCAAATGAAACCCACCGCAGCGCTACTCTGCCATTAATTGGCAATTTATAGCGGAGCCAAACCACATCGAGCACTCCACCCCAGCATCAGCAGCAGCAGCAGCAGCAACAGCCGCACCACCAATGCCACCAATGCCACCAGCCGCCCATTTTCACGTGCGCGCTCAAGTGAAAATTATCATTTCCAGCAACTGAATTTCTCTCATACTATACAACCGCAAAACAAGAGCCAATGCTATAAAAATGTACATAGAAAGCGACACTCGGGCGGGGCTAACAAAAAAAAAAAAAGAAGAAAAGTCGCCAAACTTTAGCCGCGGGCAAACCGTCCATGACGACCACAGAAGGCGACACCCCAAACTGTTCCAACAAAAGAAAAAAATAAACATGAAAGAACAGTATTTATATAATTGATAAGACGAATATATGATGCTCTTTACTTAATCAATTAATCCAGTCGGCCGTTTAAATCACAAAAACAAAAGCCAACAAATTTAATTTATTTTCCAGAGTTTGAAGCAATTTAGCTGAAGCGCATGAAAAAACTTTATTTTATAAAATTCAAGAATTTTATTGATTTAGTACAATTTTTTTAAATGCAATAATTTTATAAATTTAGTACATATTAACAGCAAAATTGCTTTAAGGAATGTTATTTAGCAGCTTAGAAATAATTTTATTATATCTGAAAATCAACCATAAATATTTTTTTATTATCAAATATTAAATAAAATATTAATAATACTATTAATTATTATAATAATTATATAAATAATTTATTACTTATAATCTCTTCAAAACTTCTTCGAGCTTCGGCTTCTCATTTCCCTTTAAATTTAGCTGCCAAGCTTTAATCCATTTAGTATAATATATTTAATAATATATTTAATATTCTCAACAATTCATATATCGATGCATATTAAATTTAATCTCGAACTGACTTTTACCATTTTGACTACTTTAGCGATAAAATGATTAAGCCCCAGATAAAGAGTATATTACAAGCCCAGGCGGCGATTTATCGCATTTTGCTGCGGTCGGCATTAGTTACGCTGAATTTTATCACAATTGCAATTCTTTCTAGAACCGGTCCCAGACCCGCCAAAAAGGATTTTTTTTTTGGGCTGCAGCCAAGCCAAGGAGGTTGGTTGGGCATGCGAATGATGATTAAGATGAAAATAGAAATGGAAATGGGTGTGGAAATGGAAATGGCCGCTGCCTTGGCAACTGACCGAACAGCGAACGGCCAGCGTTGAGCGTCGAGCGTTGCTAATTTCCACGTTTCGCCCTAAAATATAATCATAATTCGGTCTGATTTTTGCTTTGTTGCCGCTGTAAATGATTAACGCCGCGGGCTTTTTGGCCGTAGCCGCATGATGGGCGTGGCATGCGTCCGAACGACCGTTTAACTTTTGCTGACGCCTTCAGACCTCAGTGTTAGCTTCTGGCTAGCTACATTTTGGCATTCGAATGGGTTCTTTAAAGTGCACAACACCCACAACTTCAAATTTGCTAAAAAGCAAAAACGAATCTCATATTCTTGAAGCCTGATTGCTCATTAGCAAATTCATTTGGCTGCACTCCAGCGGGAGCGCTTAGCCCTCATGGCAACCCCTCATACGACCCTAACTGATAACTCGAAAGCATTTCCAACGCCGCGTTGAGTGCGCACAGGGAGCAGGCAGTGCTCAAATACTACGAGACCAGCTAATAAATACTCTATATTGAACACAATTAAAGGCCGATGTGTGTGAAACCTTGTGCATTTTATTTCCTACAGTCCTCATAAAGAAGTGTTGTTATTTACGGGACAGATAATATTATATCTTTTCGAGGGTACTTTAGTAAAAGTGTATAGATAAGTCAGTATTATCCTAAATATACAGAAAAATTAGGTCAGTTTTTTCACAAACAACTTTCTGTGAGCTGTAAAAGTGTATTGAAAGATTATATTTATCTCCATCTCAAAACATTTTTGGGATTATAAAATTGAAAATAATAAAAATTGCCTTATTTGAAGGTCCAAAATATATTTAAGCCCCAAAGAGTCGAACTTTTCTTAAGAGTATTTTAGAGTTAACTTCTATAATTAGGAATATATTATAGCTGTCAGACAAACTGTATCAGTTGTTGTGAACACTTTCAGCAATTGTAGTATTTTAGTGTATTTGCAAATTGGAAAATGCAAAAATGCTTCAAAATTATCATTTCGTTGGCCTAATGACTTGTGCAAAATGTCGCGGTGTTGAGAGATACTTGGCGAGCAGCTTGGCTTAGCAGCTGCGT